TAGAACTCGGCTACAACGGCGTAAGTACACCAGTCCATTACAATGTGGGGTTGAGTCTCCATTTCTCTCAGCATCCTCTCCATCCCATCCAGATCATATTTTAACCCAAATGAACTAATGCAGATTCTGTAACTATCATTATCAGGGGAAACCCCGCTCTTCTTCAGCTCGGCCAACACCTCAAGGACATGCGCAGGTTTGGAGGCGTTAAAGCGCATGATTTCATTAAAAGGGCGAGGCGACAACGCAAAACCCAACTCTTTCATCTTCGGAAGAGGGAATAAAGGACCCCTATGTATGCTATGTATGTATCCACTGCGTGGATCCACATAACATCGAAGGAGTTTTCCATACGTCTTGTCATTTCTAGCTTGTTTTGGCAAGTTCTTGGCATAGTGCACCGCAGCAGAACGTCCTCGAACCTTACAAATCAAGTTGAACTGGACAGCATAGTCACTAGATGAGAGTTTATAAATACCTTTCTTTCTCATCCATTCATAAACCTGCAACACGCAGTGAAAGCAAAACACTATCACAATGCATCTCAAATCTTTCAATTGAATCAGAAACTATTATGTTTTTTTATTAAAAATCATTCCATCAACTATGATTTAACTGACACTAGATTCAGACCTGCTTACCAAAGGTAACATACAACAAAATATTACTCTTGTTTCATTTGGCACAGAATAAAAAGAATGATAATATTTCAACAGCCTGAATTCCATGTATGGCAAAGCGACTCAAACACTATGTTTGGTTCATATATATATATATATATATATATATATATATATATATATATATATATATATGGATTGACTACAGTAGGATGATGCCCAGGAGATTAAATGGCATACCTACTGGGCAACTTCTTTGGCAAATTAAACGATTTTTTCTCTTTCATTTATTTCTTCGAGAAATAGGCACACCTACTTAGAAGAAAGTTAAGTCGGCTCTCTTCCTTCTTACAGCTTTTTTTCTCGTTGCTTTCTCTTCATTCTACTGAGCAAGCCCTCTGTTTTTCACTAGTTCTCTTTTTTAAAAACATATTGTTCTTTTTTTATATAACTTTTGTTTTTTAAGTGAATTTTTCAAACACTTTGTTGTAGTATGGAAGAATCTCCAAATTTCGAAGTGGAAGGTGGCCCAAATTCTGATGATCCTGAATGGAAGTATGCTCTGAGGGTCTCAAAAATAAATAGGAATTATACTATTTGCATCTCTTGTAATAGAATCCATAAAGGGGCATCTTTCGTGCCAAAGAACATATTGTAAGAGTGCAACGAAATGCAAATAGATGCTTGAAATGTCCTCCATCAGTGCGTAAAGAAATAAGAAATTATATGCTGTCAAAGAAAGCCCAAAAAGACTTGGAAAAGCAAGCACAGCCTTCTTTTGTCAATGTGAATGATGTAGATAACAATGATGTTCATGATGATGGAGGTATGCCTTCTACTCAAAACTTGGGAAGTAATGTTAGAAAGAAGGCAAGGCAAATGGGTCCTATGGACATGTTTTTCACTACTATTCCTCATTCTAGCAAAAAGAAAGGTGATAAGAAAACAACCATCAATGAAAAGTTTAGGAAAGAATTTATAGAAAAAGTCATATTGGGCATAGGTGAGTAGATGTATGATGCTGGAATTGCTTTTAATGCTGTGAATTATCCAACTTTCAAGAAATATTAGATCTTGTTGGTCAATATGGTATAGGCTTAAAAGGACCAAGTAATAATGAAGTGAGTGTGAAACTTTTGAAAAAGTCTATAGACAAAGTGAGTGATTACATAAAATCATGCGAAGGTGTGTGGGAAAAGTATGGTGTTACTCTAATGACAGATGGATGGACGATGATAGGCACCAGAACTTACATAACTTTTTGGTTAACTCACCTCGGGGATCAATTTTCTTGGATCTATTGTTGCAGAACATGAAAAGGTGGAGTAATGTTGTTCAGCCTATTGGATAGATAGGTGGAGCATTTGGAAGAAAAACAATGTTGTTTAAGTTGTAACAGAGAACGCTACAAATAATATTCTTGCAGGTGTGATTTTTTTGCATATGATTATATAACTAAAAAATGTTTACCATCTTTCATTCTTGCTTTACATGGTTAAATGTTTACTTTGTAGGCAAATTACTTCAAGCCAAAAGGCCACACCTCTATTGGACTCCGTGTGCTGCACATTGTCTTGATTTCATTTTCACCAAGGTTCCCATGACATTGGGAACCAATGTCATGGGATGACCCGGGTGCGCTCCGGTACCCCGTTGGTAAAATTGATGGTTCTTACCCCCTAACTTCCCCTGTAAACCCCCTTATCCTGCCCAGACCCGAACACACCCCCCACCCCCCTTCAATTGCACCCCACAAGTTGATTTTGACTTTGGAGGTAATAAGGAAGGACTTAGGACTTTAGAAGAAGGTAATAAGGAAGGACTTAGGACTTCTGATATTTGGGCCGGAGTGGTAGTTTTGTTCTTGTTGTTGTGTGCTTTGTAGGTTTGGGTTCTTTCTTCTTAAATCTGTTTGTGTGCCCTTTGTCTTAGGGCACTATTCTTCCTTTTGTTTGCTCTTTGATTCTTTTGTTGTACTAGCTAATCTCCGTGTTGCTTGAGTTATTAGGCATTACCACAAACATAGGACATGGATAGGGTACCTCGGAGCAAGTTTTTGTAAAGCATATAGAAACATGGATTGGAGATTGAATAAGTAATAGGGAGTAGAAGCTAATTGAACTACCTGTAGAGCTTGATAGAAGCGGCCGTCCTTACGAAGTTTGAGCAGGATCCTCTTGAGGTCGCCGGCCGCCGGAGCCTTTGTCTTATGATGTTTAACCCAATTGTCTAGCTTAGGCTTGACATAGATCTTGGGATTGCGTGGACGAACAATCTGCGCCCACAAGCTCTTCCTGGGTTTCATCTGCCCGGCGATAATCATGTTTGTATGGCAGTAGTGACCCCGTCCCCATGGCGCTTCCCACCGGAAACGTAGCCCCGACCCCAATCGATCGAGTCCCAAGAAAGAAACTAA